ATATTATAATATATATATATATATATATATATATATATATATATATATATATATATATATATATATATATATATATATATATATATATATATATATNNAGTATAGTATGTAGTATATATATATATATATATATATATATATATATATATATATATATATAAACCCATGTTTGAGTATGCTTTTAAACAAGAATTTCATCACGGAGAAATCTTGTGATATACATATAAACTGTGCGCCTATCCATTAACACAGCATATGCTCATAACCCACCACCACCCAACTAGCACATCTCCTTGGCATTGCCTGTAAACCGGGTTTACATCCATCCGCTCACCCTTCTGTCACTTGTTTCAACCAGGTTTCCAAGTGTCGGAAAAACCTTCTACGGCTGCTACACGTGGGCGAGTTCAGCAAAGCGGCGCAGTTTGAAGACCCTTGCCTCACCTTTGTATTGCCTGAGGTTATCTGTAACTTCTGCATGGAGTGTCGCGACATTGATCTCTGCCGGTGCGTTCCCCATCACTTTCCGTGTGCATGTGTTAGTGCGTGTTCCGTCTCTGTGAATGGATGTGCGTGTTCGTAGCAGTTCACGTGTAGAGAAGAGTTTGGTTGCTGGCCGTGTGCACGTGTTGGGTATCCGTTTCTCGCCTGTGTGTTCGGGTTTGGGGTCGAGGATTTAAGGTTTGCCAATGTGTTAGGGCTTGGGTTTAAGATCTAGGGTTTAGGGTTTAGTCTGCATCGATTATCGCGCCATTGGTCCTGCCAGTACAACCCCTCAGATACATTCATTGTGTATCGTTTGTATGTGCGGAATCCTTTTGTATGGAAGTGCTTCTTAAGTGTTTACTTTTATCAGGTGTTTACGTGCATATCTTTTTGTTTAGACTGGTGTAGTCGGATCAGCTTTGTGTATGAATGTATATGTCAATAGCCCTCGCATACGTTCTTATCTTTGTCCCGCCAGAGCTTATCTGCCACCTCTAAGCCCAGTGAAATAAACGTTTACGTTCGACTTTCATTTGTATGTATTGCTGCGACATCCATCTCTGCCAGTGTACCTACACGTGCTTGTGAGAGTACCTTTCTACGCGGACACGCGTGTGTTGCATATGTCAGTGTGTGCGTATATCAATGTTTTCAGAGTGCTTATATGCCTTGCGCCAACGCTTGCCTGTGAAAGCACCTTTCTATGCCCACACGCGTGTGTTGCATATGTCTGTGTGTGCGTATATCAATGTGTTTTCAGAGTGCTTATATGTTTTACGAATCCTTACCACGATTGTCCCCTAGCTGGAAGATCGGAGATCTATCAGAGTACTCATACCATATCTATCAGAGTACTCATACTATTTCTATCAGATTACTCATACCATATCTATCAGAGTACTCATACCATATCTATCGAATTACTCATACTATACCTATCGGATAACTCATACCATATCTATCGGATTACTCATCCCATATTTATCAGAGTACTCATACCATATCTATCGGATTACTCATACTATATATGTCGGATTACTTATTCACCCTTTTTGTGCACATACCGCAGAGATGTCCATAAAGAGGAAGGCGAAGACGGAGAGCAAATCGGATTCTGGCGGTGTCCGGCATGTACAACGGAATACGACAAGGATGCCATAGAATACGCTCTCATTGGTAGGTATTTGTTTTGTGTATACGCTCTCATTGGTAGGTATTACTGTGCGTGTACGCACCATTGGAAGGTATTTGGCTCGTGTGTACATTCTTATTGGTTAGGTATTTGGCTTGTGTATACGCTCTCATTGGTAGGTATTTGTTTTGTGTGTACGCTCTCATTGGTAGGTATTTGCTGTGAGTGTACGCTCTCATTGGTAGGTATTATCCCGGTGTGTGTATGCTGCGTATGCCTTGCCATCTGTGCTGTTATAGCACTTTCTCGTTTCAGCGTGGGCAGTGCCCTGTCCTGTCCTGTCCTGCATGCATCGCCAGAGAGTACTATAATGTGGTAGGAATCGCACTCATTGGATGAAATTATCTCCGTAAGCGCTGTGTGCTGAGTGCGTATTCACTGCGAACTGATAGTTGTATCTGCTCTGTACCTATTGCGCCAGTATATACCAAAGCAGTCGGTAGGCCCATAACTCACCCCCCTGAATGCTTACATTGACCCCCTGGTGATGAGTATGATGCGTATGGTACTGTACATCGCAGTGATGCTCCGATTGCGTGGGTACAAAAGGGTGAATTACTCATATGATTCAAACAACCTGTTTGTATTCTCGATGCAGATGTGGTACGGAAGCAGCAGATTACATTCAATCTCCAGGATCTGGTCTGCGATAAGGTAGTACCATCCACAAGCGCGGTGTGTGCACAAATCCTAAAACCCTAAAACCCTAAACCCCTAAACATATACTGAAGCTCTGTGAACACCTGCACTTGCTGCGCAGGCGTAGGTGGTTGTACGTCCGTATAAGCATCTGTCTGGTGCCGCTTGTGTATTGATAAAGGTCTGTTTGTTTCCATACCTTAAGACGGCACTAGAGTCACTCCCATCAGGCTGGTGTGTCCCGAGCTCCCCCTTTGTGTACACGTATACATACACGAATCCGAGTGTGTACGGTATTTCGCCGCTCAACCACTCGCCCTGGTTGTTGGGTACCAATCGAGTACACGTTCTTACCAAGGCTTTGTGGACCACTCAGAGCCATACCTCAACTCCTTGTGTGTGAAGACATACCTACACATACCCGTGGAGCCATACGCACACAAGCCACACCCACACCTTAACTCCTCTCCATCGCCTTTACTATTCGCAGTGCAATGGCATACAAAGGCTGCTCACGCCGTCCTGTCCGTGCTCGGGTGTGTATCGCAACCGAACCAGCCGAGAGGATGTCATGACAACTGTCAAGACGCTGGATAGCATAGCCCAGTTCTACCAGGTGTGTTCACACTAAAACCCTAGACCCTTCTCCATTGCTGGGTGTGATGACTGGTTGCACCGGGTCAGTATAAACTCAGAGCTGGCCTACGCTGAGCTCTATCAGCGTGTTCGGTTGACCTGGCCAGTCACATACACCGTGGTGTATGTGTTGGAGCCGGGTTACTCTTGCTTATCGTACTGGTGTATAGTGTATGTCGCCTATACAACCCTCCATATTGGCTGGGCACATGGTTCAGTCTGTTATATTACCGACTACGCTTGGAAAGCCAAGATTGCTAACTGAGCCTGAGATTGACAGACGGTTTATAGCGAGTAAATGCCACTAAAGGTGGACCGGGGGGGGGGGGGGTAAGGGAGTGTGTATTCACTATGGTGAGCCAGCTAAGTCGGCAAGGTTGTATATTGATGAGCCGCTGTGTATCTGTATGCCAGGACAAGGCCTCTTTCTCACACTACAAGTCATAGCAATCACACTACGGATCAGACATACATGCTAAGGATTATACATACATGCTAAGAATTATGCATACATGCTAAGAATTATACATACATGCTAAGAATTATACATACATACATGCTAAGAATTATACATACATGCTAAGAATTATACATACATACATGCTAAGAATTATACATACATGCTAAGAATTATACATACATACATGCTAAGAATTATACATACATGCATGCGCCGCGCTCAAGAGCAGCTCGCGTACTTTGTGAAGTGAGGTGGTCTGCCTGTGTCTGCATTTTCGGCCAAAGTGTTTCTGTTAACAGCAGATAGATGGCTGGTCTGGGATAGATACGTACGTTCCACGTGTAGAAGTACAGAATATTTAGACTATATGACTAAGTATGATATTGTGTATCACTATCAAAACTTGTACTAGAATCTGTACTGGCTATCATACTTATAATATAGCACCGTATCACATTATATATAACCTAGTAGTTATTTAATAGCTAAATTCACTAGGTTCGAGCCCCTCTTTACTTGACTTACCTTCCTTCTCCACCCCACAGCTGCGATTACTGCAAGATGTGTTACAAGATGCGAAGGATGGGGCCGTGCCAATGGATATCTCCGGAGCTGCCTGAACCACGTAGCCAGTCTTAAATTCATAAGTTAAAAGTGGTACATATAGTACATATACACAATAAAGAGGAGCAGGACACTGCTTGGTTGAGCAGTGAGTACTGGGAATCAATGAGTTTGTATTCCGATTCCATTTTGGATATCTACAAACTATACGCTTAAGCGATGGTTTAATATCCGAACCTAAAATAAATTTTTAAAAATCACCTGGTGTCAGTACTGGAATGTTATTTACTATTTATATATATATATAAAAAAAATTGAGAAACATGAAGCTCTCATATTCCCACCCGTGTCCCAAATCCCAATGAAAGTGGGCCCGTAGCTGTAACGCTCACGGCTCTTAGCCCATCACATCACTGCGCGTCATATACCAATTGGAGATCTAAATGGCCTTTTTTGGGCCTCGATATATCAATACTTGTCATGTATCACTCAGACATCTCCCTAGAGATGAGAACCATCGTTTATTTTTATATGAACCCTTTGACGGAGGTGCATGAGATCAGAAACAATACTTGAAATATATACTTCATTCCAGGATCGCTACCAGAATAGCACAATAATTAGAACCTGATAGAGAGTTTGCTGTTCGTGAAGGAGGCGGTTACAGCTTTGCCGCCATGAAGGTGATATCTGCATTCAGCATGGTCCGCTTCACATACATAACAGCAACTAGTGTCACGGTGACTGAATGTGCCGTGAAATCATTGCATAGTAAAATCAGCTCACCTTGTCATACTTTAATAGGTGTCGCTCTGAACTCATTCAATTCAGTTGAGGGCATCCAATCGTCACTTCGCGAAACGAACATACCAGATTATTCTGATACATTCTGCACAGATGATGAGATCAATAAGTGCTATTGTGGTACTTTGTTGCCAATTCGTACAAACAACACTCAGGAATTGGAGGTGAATGGTATCGTCTGCCCTAAACATGCGGCTCGTGATGATAGTAGCAGCAACAATACTACTAATTTTCTGTACAGCAAGCTTCTTGACAAAAACAATATCGACGCATGTAGTATCCCATATGCTGCGTTTGCCAAACCAGACGTTCCTAATAGTTCCACTCCCGCATATGATCCTTTGTCCGAAGCTACCACAAGGAAGGGTGAAGTGAACACCATCAAAATCGCCAATGGTGAGATATTTTTCGATGGTGGAGTGCTCGATAGTGATGACGAAGACATCGACGATGCAGATGAGTGGGCTGTGGAGCCACCCAGCACCACACAATTGCTTGTGGCCGAGGTCATACTCGCCGCAATATTGGTGTTTGTATCACTCGAACCAAGCCGTTTTCGGTGAAGGAATTGACGAGGAGAATATGATTACAAATGATTCGCAAATTGAAAGGCAAGCATGACCTGTCGCAATTTTAAATTGCTACACGTACTTCAAGAATGTAAAATTATATGAAATGACTTTCAGTATACTAGCGGAACTGTTGCAACACGAGGTTCTAGAAATATATTTAACTCATTTATGTATACAACTCGGATCAAATAACCGATATCAAGCACAGACTGCTCGGAGAAATAAAATAATGTACGCAACACAGCTGTATACCAACCAGTTTATGTATACTTGAAGACTAAATATTGTGGTTTAATTCCGAAAGATCTATCGTTCAGCGTCTTTTGCAGTCGTACACTAAACGTGTATCGTCACCCAGAACGGTTAACCTTTTCCTATATTGCTGCTCATATTTGATTGAGTTTGGGTTGATTGAGTTTGGGGATGGCGTGAAACTACCTTCCCCGTATTCACAAATGCACCCATAATTCCCCAGGATGACTTTCCCTGTATAAAGATATCGTTTGTTTGATAATCTATCAAATCCGCCCAATCATTACCATCCACTACTGTATAATTAAAGTGAAAAGTCCCTTTCTTGATAGGGATATGGGCTTGCATATATAACTTAACCTCAACTCCTCCACAATTGACAAATTCAATATTGTGCCATATTTGATTGATCGAGCGAACACTGATACCTCTCTTGTTAACAGGAGTCGCTGAATCCAAGATTTTTGTTTCCTTGTTTCTAACATCACCCCAGCGAAAGTGCATACCCACGCTGGCAACCGCAGGTGTAGGTTCAATAACTTTCGTCTGAGTTGAGGATTGCCTCATCAGAGATACGAAGTGGTTGTAATTCACTCCTACACAGTCGTTGTAGTTTTCTAATGTTTCCTTCACGGTAACGTTGTGGTAGATAGTTGAACACGATTCCAGACTCAGGAGCCTGATGACTGTTGAAGGCAGTATCGTGTTGCTACATATACTAGGCAGTAACTGCATAAGAAGGGTATGATTGACCAGACAGCTCGCTTCTGATACTGGACAAGGTTCGTTTCGAAACATAAAGTTGAGGCATGTTTGCGTATTCCACGGACCGTCAGATCAGCACCTAAATGTGTACTGAGTATCAATGAGGATTTAGTGTGTTGCAGGAACGACCCCACTCCCTCATTAGAGAGTCCGCCTTCGTGGGAAATACACAGGCGAGGCTCAGCCGCTATAGTCGCAGTAGGCATCTCCCTAAACATCATTTTAAGATATTCTATCGCACAAATTGAAATGGTGATAAAACAAGCATACTTACAAGCCGCAACTAAGGATTCCTTGCTCAACCCTATGTTCATCGTATTATAATAGATCCTATAATGAACTTGCTTGAGTAGGTAGAGCTGTATTCAGGCAATTATAGGCCCTTCTATTATGAGCACCTACAAAGAACATGAACTACGTCTAATCTATTCCTACAGTGTACAGTGTTCAAATATTAAAGATATAATCCGTGAACTGTTATAGGTACATCTGTATCGGACTGTCAGTTCAATAGTAAAGACATAATCGACAAAGGTTAATACGCCTACGCTCAACGATCAACGGTGTCGTCGTGACTCGTGAGTCGTGAGGGCGACACTGAGTCACTTTTAAACTGACTCGGAGTCCGTGTCACTGGCTCACTGCCGCTGCGGCCTTCTTCTGGCGTGTCTACTGTCTACTCGGTATGACGTATAAAAATACCATGGCAGATCGCTTTTAGCATTTCATAAACAAATAAATAAATTCAGTATACTGGTGGCAGTTGGCACCGTGGCAGACTGGCAGGCTGGCGGCTGGCCGCCTAATGCACCGCGGGCCGCAAGTCCCTGCCACTCTGCTTCTCTTATCTATCCCTGCCGCGTTTTCAAAACGTTTCTTTGTCCAGTCCACCAGATATGTAAAATTGTAAATAAATATTATAATACGAGCCGATGGCGACCAATGAAGTGACGCCTTAAACGCATATTATTAGTCTTACATACTGATTCCGTGATTGGCTGATTCAACTGATTGAGATCTTCTCCTCCGTGATTGCCTGATTAGTGATTGAGATCTTCTCCAGTCTCCAGTCTCCAGTTCTCCAGTCTCCACTGCTCCTGGCTCCAGCCTATTTATGTAAATATGACGTTGCTGTACTGTTTATTTCATTTTTATTATT